GAGGGGGGGATTGATGGATGAATGACTTGAGTTTCAAATAATTGTTCTTTTAAACCTTTATCGAATCTTACCCAAACAATAGTAGGCCTTCATGAACGTATTGTCTGCCCGTGCAATGCTTGTCCTTTCTGGGTACGTGCCGTCTGCGATCAGCAGTTTCTGGTGTCTTAAATCGTCTTCAGTGACAAAACGGTTATTTAAAAACAGCGTTTCCTGTGAAAGAGTGTCTGTCCTGCGGACTTTTGAGAAATCAAGATCCTTTGTATCTGTTGAAGTTCTAATTCTGAACGTAAAGGGGGATAAGCCAATGGGCTAAAAATAAGGTGGATATAAACGTGCACGGAGGATGAAATGGAGATGGGGAAATGTTTTGGAAACACCCTGCCTCCTCTGCGGTAAATCATTGCTTTAGCAGCATCTTTATCGGTTCTGCGTTAGAAAAGGACAAATTTAGCACATTACGTTATGTAACGGCTGTTTATAGAGTGCATTACGCCGAAGAATCAGCCAATCAGTGCACACCCACGGCGAGTGCAAAGGTGGGAAGTGATTCAACATGGGCGATCGAGCCTTTGAAGTCGTAGATCTACATTATGTAGAATGGGTTTGTTTGGTTTTCTTTAATTTTTGGGCGTGAATGACTGAGATATTGGGTGAGTTCATTACTGAGAAAGGGAGGGAAAAGAAAAGGATTAGAGGAATAGGGAATGAAAAGAGAGGGAGAGGGGAAGAAAGTATGAAGGGATGTAAGAAAGGAAAAGAATCGAAGAGGGTGAGTTATTAAAGGAGGGGATCAGGAGCTGAACGAATCGTTGAGCTATTCGTAGATATTGAGCATGTTAGGGAGGGAGAAAGAGAAAGAGAGAGAGAGAAAGAAAGAGGGAGATAGAGAGAAAGATAGAGACAGAGAGAGACAGGGGGCATAAAGAGAGGGTAGTTAATTGTCGTAGATTTGGATGCCATACAGACAGGAATGAAGAGGGAGAGAGAGACAGAGGGAGAGAGACAGACATACAGACAGACAGACTGACAGACAGACAGCAACATGTTTGTGCCCATGTGTACGTCTTTGTGTGTGTGTGAGAGAGACAAAGGGAGAGAGAGAGAGAGAGAGAGAGAGAGAGAGACCAGGTAATAAATGGAACACAAAAAGGTTACCATCACATGTGGCAAACATTCCCGTGGTCTAGAGCACAGACCAGACTCATGTAGGTGAGTCGTGACGGAGAAAGTAGGTACAGCGTGTATGTCAGGTGAGGGATGGGGTCGTTAGTGAGCACTTCCTTGCCCC